AGCACTGTCCAGATGAGCTCAGCTATAAATGGCTCAAAAGTTACACAAGTAGGTTAAAGCCTTCTGTCACTGAGAACAATGGCAGGCAGTTGTCCATACAACTTGCTTATGACTAAGTAACGATGATGTAAGATGCAAGTCCAACATTCCTTGCTGTCTCATGTCTTATCTGAAATCGGTCCTCATCAAATTGAAATTAATATACAAATTTAAATAGAAGTTGCCCTCTTCTGAAAAATGATACAGTTCACTTACAAAGGCAAGTATTGGTTTATAGAAGAAAGAGACATTTTAGAAGTAGTTTAAGAGCAAAAAATACATTCTGTATATAGAAAAAAATAAAAAATAGAAAGAATAGGTCTTTAAGCCACAGAATAAATAGCTCAGATTTTCTCTGTTCACTATCTCTCAAATTGTCTGCAAGTGCAACAATGCCATTAGAGTCCCATGCAATCTGTTCCCAAAAACCCTACCATATTCATAACAGACTACACTAATCAAGCTTACAGAACTATGTACAGAACTATATCATTATTACAGAATAATGATATCAAAAGAGTTTGGAAAAAAAAGTTTGTGAATCAACACAAGAAAATTCCATGCAATCATCCTGTCCCTGCTTTCCCAAAAGACTAGCACACCTCCATGTGAAAGTGTACACAGAAATGAGCTATGGACACGGTTGCTTTAGAATATGCCTTAGGAGTTCAAAGGCAATACAGCTTACAGCATTTACATTGGCACAACACTGATGTGGAAAAAAATGAGTAGTCCAATTCACTAAAGAATAAATGCACACCTCAGGGACTTTCCTGGACTAGAGATAATTCCACATTTTGTGCCTGAAAAATAGCAACAGACTGCAGAAGGGTTATTGTCTAAAGAGTGCTTCAGGAAAAACGAAGGTCTAATTCACACTTTCATGGAATAAAACTATAGATTTGTTTCACACAGCCACAGTGAATAAAAATTTATAACCTTCCTCACATCATATTTTAAACCCATTTAGTTTTAAAGCCACAATCTGGTGATAAATCCAAGTATCTCTAGATAGCAGGGCTCCATTGGATGCAGAAAGATAAAGTTATCACCCATGCCCTTGGAAGAGATGCAAGTCAAGTTTGTTTAAATAACATACGAGTAGAGATAACAGAAATCATTTGCTAGTGGTGCCTATTTGTGTTTTATTTGCAATTAATCCAAGAGTCCAATTTGATAGAAATGATTCGATGAAAGCACAGTACTTCAACAAAAATGGCTTAACAACTAGCAGCACTCCCATGTCAAATATACAGACAGGGAAATAAGACCAATACATTAATCAATGTAAAGACTAATAATAATAATTACCACAAGTAATTCAGAACATTTTTATCCTATTCTAATGTCCATTTTCCCTTGCTCTTTTACCATTCAAACAAAATTCAAATAATTAAATAAAAGAACATAACTATGAGACAGTCCTTAAGAAGCTGGTTACCCTCTGGGTTAATTAAAAAAAAAAAAAAAACAAACCAAAAACTGCATATTATAGTAATATAATTATTAAAAGATGTAATTCCACATTTTGAATACTTCGAAACTTTCCTGTGGGTATAAGAAGAATTATCTGAGTTGGGTTTCAAGAGAAATGATGATGATTTTCTATCTTCATCTTCTTCCCTCTAGATTTAACCCATGACTGTAGTTAGGACTTGCTAATGCCTAACTAATGACCTGCAGTTCATTTTTGAGAGGTATTAGGCTTTATTTACAAAAGCCTCCAACTGTATGCTTTCAAAGCTCACATTAAACTGTTTAAATACAGCTCAACTTACCATGATGGATGGAGCCAAAACATGTATTTAAAGAAGATTTATGAAGTTCTGTAGCCTGCCAAGTAACTTCTACTGGTCAGATCCTGTCTGAAGCAACTTAACCCCATCTATTTTTAAAGCAGATATTTTAAAACGATTGCTCCATTTTTGTGGGAGAAAGTAAAACTATCCCATAATATCATTCTGAAGTATTCACCATGTCTCCTCTGTCTTCAAGTGAGAATTTCTATATAAAGTAAACATGCATTCTGCTTTCAGGACGGTACATTATATCACCACTTTTAAAAATCACACAAAAAAAACCACATCTTATTAAAATCTCCTATTAAAAAATAAAAGCCATTTCTGACCAAAAAAATCTTTAATTTACAATTAGCTTTCTTCATTCACCACCTGAAGTACACACCTTCAATATAATATTTGTGGGTTTGTTCTTCCCCTTAAATATAGGTTAAGTTAGTACATCGGAGGAAAAAAAAAGGAAACAAAGAGACTTCTTATTAGTGGAAAACCTACCATGCTTATGATCTTGAAAGCAGAACTCAGGAGGGAAGACACTGCTCTCCTTTTAATTTAGCATGACGTGTCAAAAGCAAGTTGTCAGCATCAAGAAAAGATTGCAAAGTTGGAGCTTTTTAGATCAATGTAAGAAAGAGTACGACAAGCTACATTCTTAAAATATGCAACATCGTTAATTACTGTTGGTAAGGAAGTGTTAAGGAAAGGAAAGAGATTGTAATGAATTCACTTCTGGATATGTATTCCATCTAGAAACTGACAGAGGCTTCTTGGTCAACACCTTGAGTGTAAGGGACCCTCTCCATTCTTTTCTTCAAAACTTACATGTTGGAAAAACCCAAGTCACACATTTAGTCACAGCCTTTGCACACCCCAGATCTTCCCAGTGTCCCATTCTCTGGCTGATGGGCATTCTCTCAGCATTCTCTGGCTGATGGGCTATTGGTGCAGCTCACATCCCCATTCCGGCTGTGTTTAATTTGAAAGCAGCTCACCAACCTCTTGTAGACTCTAAAACAACTTTGCTGGTTGTTCTAGGGTGCAAGTGAAAATGTAATTCTGGCTTAAAGACCCCAGTTTGGTTTTTAAGCCCTCCAAGCTCCAGGTGGTGTCCATAATAGTTCCATATGGTGATAGAAGAGTTTTGCCTTTGCTTTGGAGATGGCATTTGTTCCAAGTTTAGATTAATCTCTCTACAAGCTGAAGCTGGTAGAAGTTAAAATATCAGACTATCTACTTACAGCTTATCCTAAGCTGCTTGGTCCCTGCTGGCTTGTATAGCAGTTCTCATTTTGTAAAAGTATCTATATGCATTTTGGTATTGACACTAACCTTCCTGATGGTTGCTTTTTGTCAGGTGCTTTTTAAAGTACCCCTCAAACTTATTAATCTCCTGGATTCCCTCTTGCACAAGTGTTCTCTCTTAATTAAGTGGAAAATTAACTTGCTCTTTTGATGAAGACTCATCCTTCCATATACCTACCTCCTCTCCCTTTTCTAAATGAAACTCATTTTCGTGAACAATTCAGTTTCATACTCACAGGAAGCTGAAAAAGGAATTTGGAGCCACAGATTTGTCTACTACATGCAAATGAGTTTAAAGATCGTACCACAGAATCAAATACTTTGAGTTTGTTTTTTTGGTTTTTTTTTTTGCTGATGTTTTTCTTAACAGTGCGAAAGAAGGAAACTCTTCAATATGCAGAAGACATGAAATACAAAGCAATCCTCTAATACTATTTATTTTTAGCCACAAGGCAGGAAATTACTCACTCTATGCAAAATTCTACCTATATATAAATGTACATACCAGCAGAAGAATAATAGAGCTTTAAACCAGTTTTACATTACAATCATATCATTGAATGGTTTGAGTTGGAATGGATTTTTAGGATCATCTAGTTCCAATCTCCATGTCATGGGTAAGAACACCATGCAGTAGACCACGTTGCCTAAAGTCTCATCCAGCCTGGCCTTGAACACCTTCAGGGATAGGCACCACAACTTCTCTGGGCAATCTGTTCCAACGTCTCACCATTCTCTGAATAAAAACTTTCCTCCTAACATCTACTTTAAATTTCTCCTCTTTTCATTTAAAGCCATCCCCTCTTGTCCTGTCACTATCTGCCCATGTAAAAAGTCATCTCATTCCTGTTTATAATCTCCCTTTAATACTGGAAGTTTATGACAGGTCTCCTTGCCGCCTTCTCTTCTTGAGGCTGAACAACCCCAGCTCTCTTAATCTGACTTCACATTAAAAGTGCTCCAGACCTCTGTTCAGACTCATGAATTTCGTGTACTGGGGGCCCTAGAACTGAATGCAGCACTGCAGGTGGAGTCTCAGAGAGGGGAATAGAGGGGGAGACTTGCCTCTTTTGACCTACTAGCTATGCTTCATTTGATGCAGCCCATGACTCAAGACAGCAAGAACAACAACAAAGAACATTTACCCTACACTACAGGTATGTCTTCTTCCTTGCCTACCTTCTGTCAGCAAATAATTACATTGGCATGTATTCTATGCATGTAACACAACTTTATCTTGCAAGTGATACCATTTATAAATTGGGTGATAAGCAGTCATTTGGCACAATGCTCATCTGTCAACATAAACAAGCATGCATTCAGGACCATTTTCCTACTAGTCAGCAGAAAACGACCACCCTCTGGATTGACTGAGAATTAATTGATCTGAAGCACAATATTATTTATTTTTCTTAAACAAATCAACCACTTATGATGAGCTAATTCAGCAGTTACATTTTCCTAATGGAAGGGTATAAGTAAGTTCCAACACTCAACACTTTCACAGCAGCTTTCTCAATCCTGTCTGGTCTGATGCAATGTAAAATACAGATTGCAGCAGTTCTTACTCATATGCATTTGATTTAAATTCATGGGAGAACTAAATCATATTCAATTACTTAATTACATTGCAAAACTAAGGACTTTTTCTGAAATAATCTTATTTGAAATGATTCTAAATTGTATGGATTCCTATATAACACACTAAACTGTTTTTATTCTTATACTTAGTTCCCTATTATTGAAAAAAATTACAAATATTTAAATACAAAAAGAATGCTTAAGCAACACGTAAGCACGGGCATTCTTAGAACATCTAGGGATCACCTTTCTCAGAAAACACAAGGAAGACGCACTTACAGAACTGTAGACTGAGGCTCAAAAAGGCAAGTAAGGCTGCCAAAGCCAGCAAGAACAGAAACCGGTTTCGGAAAAGCATTATTATTCGTTCTGCTTTCTCTTCATGGTTTCATCTTCACGCGTCAATGGTTTCTGCAAACAACAAAACATTGGTAAGTGTATTTCAGAGGTGGAAGTATCAGCTATACCTAAGAAAATTCAAAGAGCCTTTAGACAGTGTCAACTTGCTGCAAAAGTTAAAAGACAACATTGAAAAAAACAAAACAAAACAAAACAAAACCAACAGTCTCCTGAAAATGCCCAAATAAGTAAAGTGCATAGAAATTGCTGAACTGAGGCTCTGTTTTGACAGATGCCCAAATAAGGAACAGTATGGGGGAGGCTGGGGTTCTCCCCTTCCTTCTTTTCTTAAGGGAAAAGAAAAAAAAAAAAAAAGAAGCTGCTTTCATGTGTAAGAGATGAATTTTCCCAGCACTAACTGTGCATTGCAGGGAATCTGCTAAGATTCTCTGATTCTTCGAATCAAGTTCTGTTTACAACAGTGCATCCAAATATGTTGACAGAAAAAAACAGCAGTGTTTCTTAATGCTCTGGCATTTATTTGCTCATGGAAAGAGACTTCCCTTGCTTCTTTCCTGCCTTTGAGAATGAAATTACTTACATATAAAGCATGTAATTAATACATTAATTAATACTGTATAATGTAATTAATACTCTTTTATCTACCTTTTCATGAAGCAAGATGGATTAGTTACAAAATCACAGAGTTCCTATTAGCTGTTCTGCACTCAAAAAACGAATCATCTTACCAAGACCTTGATGCCAGGCTCTGAGCACTAATAAGTCAACTAGAATCCAATTCTGAATTCCTCATACTTTTTCCCTTATCAATTTTCTTATTAACATTTGAAAATGTCTTATGAATCACTGAATTTCTTTTCTTGTTTTATCTTGTTGTGATTGGTCTTAAGAAGGAGTGGTGATCATTGAACTGGACCAATGTGATTTATTTAGGATCAAGCAAAGGGATCAAGAGCATCAGGAGTGATGCTTCAAAAACAAAATCACTGAGACTTGCAATGAAATGTATTATGCATTCATATTTTGCTTGACTGATGCCTCTCTCATTTTACTTGGAGGGCTACTGTCACAGCTTTTAGAAACTGTGGCAAATGGAAAAAAAAAAAAAAAAATGTACATTCTGAGAAGCAGGAAACCAGATCTGTTACAATATTTTTCCAAATACCAGGAGCACCACAAATGACACATGCAAGCAGTAATAAAAAGTTAAAAAAAAAAAAAAGAGAGAGAGAGAGAGAGAGAGAGAGAGAGAAAGAAGGAACAATTTTAGCAGTTCCAGTTTCACAAAATCATAGCTCATCCTGGAACATCTCAGTGAAAGGTATGCTGAAACCAAAATGAACTTAAGCCAAAGAAACTATACAAAGCTGTGATGGGAGGAAGGTAAAAGGATTAGTGAGTACAGAATTCCAGGAGAGAATGAAGCAGTTAAACCAAGCAGATGGAAGAACAGAAGGGGAGTCACAGGAAAAAGCAAAATTAGATTCAGACAGGAGAAGGTAAAGCACGTTAAAAAGTCTCAGGAGCAAAAGCTCTTGTGCACAGTGTACACTTATTAATACAATCACTGCACATATATAAAAGCTGCCACAAGAAAGGAAAGATGACAAGACAGGAGAAAAGGGGGGTAACATCTCACACTTCCGAAACAGTTTAGAGCAGAAGTTTAACTAGCTTTAAATCTTAGTCGCAAGACCAGAAATTTTAAAGCAGTTCATTTTAAATGCTCTAGTTAAGACATGATAAACAAGGCAGAATGATTTTTCATTTAAATATACTTGTACTGCTAAGTCTCTGTGTTACAACTGATCAGGAATGGGAAAAGTTGTTGTTGAATGACTTAAATAAGAGCCCATCAATACAACCTGTAATCAACTGCCACTTGGTATCACAGAGCCAGGAATCAGATGTGTTACCTAACACTGAACCCAGAGTCTCCATCCAGCAGTACTGGCATGTGAGGTACTGCCAGAGAAAAGCAGCACCTAGCAAACACAAAGTGAAGACAGTGCAATAAGCATTGTGAGCATTCACGGACAGGAGCATTTGGAAGCACATCATAAGACAGGAGCTAAAAACTTAACATAAGAGCCTCAGGAAGGAGGAAAAAATGAAACAACCTTACCTCCCCATGAAATGTATTTTCCTATGCAGACAAAACAAGCCACAGAGCAGAGCAGAACACATTCTGGTCTTCAGAATATACTAACACATAACCAAACACAACAAGAGGCTGCAGCAGACCTGCTGCTAACGTGACATTTAGAGAATATTGATCTTTACCTATTTGCTCTGCACACAGGGCAGAGTGCAGGTCATGCCCCAGTCTCACCACGTCCACTCCGAAGCTCTTAGCACTCAAAGGTCACCAACTGGCAATGCTGCATTGCTGCTCACCAGGCATGGGCCTTGGTTCTTTTCCTCAGAGACAGGTAAGCAGTAATTGCTTTCAAAGGTGACTGTGTACCTTTGTACTGCTGCGAACAGAGTTCATCATTTTAAATACTAAGCACTCTGGCAGTTGCTTCTGAGGTGTGCCAGGAAAGCACTGATTCATGTTCACTTTTAGCCAAGAGAGAACACAAAACTGGATTAAGACGACCTACACAGCCCAAAACTTATTTAGACAATGCTAATTACAAGCATGATACGCATAAGCAGTTTGGATATTCTGAAGGATAGCTAATAAAGCATTCTATATCTAAATAAAGATAATTAAAAGGCTACTTCAGAGCCACCCTATGTGGTATAAGTACCTACTCGCAGAATTTTTTTTTTCTTTAAAATTTATTCCACATCTAAACTTATCACCAGAGCAACCTACAGCATTTAGAGCCCCTCCAATTCTCACCTACTTTCACAAGACTACGCCAAACCTGTGCTAATGTAGGACACTGCACGCTCACACAAGGGTAAAAACAGTCTTGCAATTAAAGACCAGGCCAGGGAGTCAGAATATTACCCACACCTCAGCTAGGCTCATCGCATTATCTGTTTTAGGCCACTTCAACTGAAAAAGTTAATGATTCCCTAGAAATGCTGGGAGTGCAGCATGCCTGTGAGCACACACAGGAGGCCGCCAGGAGCCCGGGCTAAGCATGCAGCTCCCAGCAGAGCAGCTGCTGTAACTAACCTACTTTTTGTTCAGCACTGCCTGAGTGTTGCTATGTAGCACTCCACGAGCAGCCTCCTGCCCTTGCACCCTTCTCCTTATGTGCAAAGCACAGAGATGCTGAGTTGAATAGTTGAGCTATTTCTTCGGAACATTTTAAGTCAGGCCTTGAAAATGTAATTGGATCAATGCTTTTAAAGATTATATGAAGTCTTACGTGACACTAAACCACAACTAAACTTCTATACCAATCTACTGAAACTGTTACATCCTCTAAATTATCTGTAACCACACAGAATGCAAACCTACTAGCTAGCATGAAGCATAAGCACATTATTACACTGAATCACCATGACAGCTTAAATGAATTTACTTGATTAAAATAGCATGTCTCCATAAATAATCAATAGTACTCATCAAAGCCTGCTTCAGTAGAGTCACTCTATTATCTGATGTGGCAAACCAAAATGACACAGACTGCTGAAATACAAGCTAAAGTAGTCACAATGAGATAGCAAAAAAAAAAAAAAGCAGCTTCAAAACAGAAAGACAGCATTAAGCCTGAAATTACCTGTATGCCAGACAACTTTATTTTCTTGCAAACTTATACTGCTTACAAGGGAGAACAGAAAGCCTGTAGACATTATGAAATTCATTTGGAATAACATTTGTAGATAGTTTCAGAAAAAACATCATGAAAGAACACAGGGATATACTAATAAAGTGATGTTTCTTCCATGCAGAATAAGCGACTTGATAATTTCTTATTGTATTTGCTTTTTCATGCAACTTTTATCTTTCCTCTACATCTGCAGGTTTATTTTCCAACAGAAGCTCTGTTTTGAATGTGCCTGAAATGAAGGTGACAGCTCCTGATACGACTGTAATGAAGAATTCTGCCTTTACTTTCAAAACACTAAGGAATGATGCTCCATCAGCTATTCCCCAGTCATTTGGCAGCAGACTACCTGGCAGTATATTTTCCCCCTAGTAACACCCAGAAGTCCAGCATCCAGGCATTTTCACACAGCTGAAGAACTTCATACTCCTAAACCAGAAGCTGCAGAAAGTATCTCTGTAAGCAAGTAGCACAAGCCAAACCTTTTCTTTGATATTTCAAAGGACGTGGCAGTGGGTTTCTTTCTTTATTTTGAGTTTGTTGTACCCCTCCAATAGGAGTGAAAAACAGTGGCTAGTATATTGTGGTTATGACCAAACCCACCACTGCTACAAGCATTTAAGGAAAGAATTAAAGAAGAGAGGAAACAGGATCACTCAGGATCACTCAGACAATGCTGAGGTCAGCACAACCTGCTGCTTAATTTTTCACGCTTGTAATTTTCACATGGAGGAAACCCTCACAGAATTCCTACAGTTGACTATAATCTCAGGAACTTAAGCTGAGCATGCTTTTCCTGCACCACTGATGTTGTATTTTGCACAACGTCGAAACGCAACAAAGATAGCACCTGCAAAATTGCTAATCAGAATTCTTTATTTTTCTGTCAGGAAGAAAACGTATTCAATTTTTAAAAGCATTAATGACAAATACATCTTATAATGGATAAAATTAAACAAAACCTACACAGTAACACTACGTACATTAGTCCACCCTCCATGAGTTAAGCTGGAAGTTAGCTACCATGGAAAACACAGAAATTGACAGAAAGCACACACAGGCCAGCAGCTTGTTGAGCCTTAACAGAAAAGAAGAGATAAGCAAAGACATGATTAAAAAAAACCTTAGTATGTATCACGCCACAACAGCAAGAAGTTAATATCTACTAGAGCAGAATTACATATTAACATATGTAAAACATAACAGCTAGCTATAAAATGTTCTAAAAAATTTATTTTCAAGTTACATAACATTTCAGTAGCAAGCATCTGATAAAAAAAAACACAAACAGCCATTTCAGTCATTCAAGTTTAACCTACTTTGGTATTTAGAACATTTAAATATCTACATCTAAATTTCTCTTTTCTCCAATTCCAAGTATCTTCCTTATCTTCTCAGTTCTAAACCCTCAGGTTGGCACAGCTGGTCTTCTTGAGACATTCAAAAGCTATTGAAAATGGCACAGCAGCACTGTCCAGTCTGTCTAAGCTGCCAACACAAGCTCTTACTTCCTTAAAGCTAAGAGATCAAATAGATCTCTTACTCAAACAAGTCTGGTCCTTCTATACAGCACTCATTATTTTCAGTGTGCAGTACATTTACATAAGTTTCAAAGACTCCTCATTGCTACGGAGAGCCCAGACACAGGTGGTCCACTGACAAACTCCATCAGTGCAAGCATCTTAAAACTCAGCTGGAAGAGATTTAGAAAGGACAGAGTGCAGTAGCAAACATCTTAAACTGAGAAGTGGGCAGGAGATCTCCAAATCTCCCCAAGGAATGGAGATTTTAAATTTCCAAAATCCTAGGTGTGATAAAACACTTCCACTGCTCAGATTCAAAGGTTGAAAGATAGAAGAAGGCTGAGACTGCCACAACTACACTTAATGTGCCTGAAAATACTGTTTTGAAGGCCTCTTTCTCAGTACTGAGTATTGAAGGAAAAGCTCAAGGGGTGGGGAGAGAGATAGGAATGACATTCTTTTAAGGGGGAAAAAGTATTCTGTTTGAAAACAGACATAGCAATCTTCATGCACAGAATTGTTTAGAAAAACAATTATTTGGCTACAACCTGGTTGGTTTTTTTTAACCATTAAAAAGTGAGGAAGGTGAGAAGGGAGGATGTAAGATTAAGTAATTTAAAAACAATCAATCTATCATCACCAAGCTGACCCAAGTCAAAAAAAGAAACTGTAGACTAAAGAAGCAATATTTTAAGATGGGATTACTGTGCTCCACATGGCCGGTCCTACACGAGTTTAATGTTTGTCAGTCTACAATCACACCAAAGCATTTCCTCACAAGCTCCTCCCTCAGAGTTTTCTGTGTCAGGGTAAACCCAGTTGTACAGCTGGGGCTCAGAGCAAGTTATTTACCATAATGGATAAATTCTCTGTTCCTTTCAGTTAGGGCTGGAAGATGGAAGCAGCAGACTGGGGAGTGGGATGTAGAGAACAAGACAGGGAAGAAAAAAAAGACAATTATTTTTTTAAGAAAATACACCAGAACAGTTCTGAAGAGCTGCAATTCAAATACCATTTCTAAATCCAGCACATTCAGCTCTTAAAAAAATAATAATAATCAATTTTAAGTAAGTTAGTCTCTTGCCTTGCGCCCCTCCTCACCCCCGCTTCCCTGAATGCTTTCCCTTTTAACAGTTCAACAGGAGGCAGCTTGCTGCCTTCATGCCCAGTCTGTAGCAGCACACTGATGGCAGGAACTTTTCCTCCTATCAGCTTTGCTATGTTATTTATAAAGAACATCAATTGTTCCCATCACCCATGACAAACAGATGACATGCCCCTGCTGGGACGAATGCACAGGAGTCCAAATTAGCTCTGACAGTAAACAAAGGAAAAAGACAGGATTGCACACAAACAATTATGGAATGTTTGATGTAACCAGCCCGTGTCCTAGTTTGTGCCAGAAGTCTCACACTAGCAGGTTTTAGATGATCTTAAGTCTGTCAGTATATGTATATTCAAAAACAAATACCCACCGTAGTTCATATATACAGTGTGTCCCTAAACCAAAGATATATATATCATACTTCTTACAGCATTTCTCTTCCCCTGGTTATTCGACAAAAAAAAAAGTTATAGATGCAAAGCTGGAAACAGATCTTACAAGATTAGAGATGACTTAATAAATATTTTGCTAGCCATAAGAGTTTAAGTTACTATTTTTGGTGTTCTCTGCAAGCACCAGATATGATCCAGGCTACTGTTGGTTACATCTAACATAGGATCCTTAGGTTTGCATTCACAGAAAGAATCCAAAATAAAGGAGCAGTGACAGATACTACAGTGACACACGACTCATCCAGGTTATCTTGCTGGGCTTGCTGCTAAACCATTACACTACCAAGGAAGACTTCAAGACAAAGTGACAAAAAGACACTGGAGATTTCTACCAGGTGTTTCCTGCTTCACAGTTTACAAGGCCAAGTGCCAAAGCCAAATAACATCCTCATCACAGCCCTTCTCACAGTTCAATTATATTACCAGTTTTGTGTTGTGATTTTTGTTTGGTTAGTTGGTTTTGTTTGTTTTCTTTTTTTTAATGACTGCACCATCAATTCCTATTAACATGCAAGCAAAACCTTCACACAGCCTTGAGTTTTAGAAACTATGCACATCAATAGAAATACAAATCTAAACTAAATAAATCATATTGTTTAGGTTGTTTTTGTTTTTGTTATGGACACAAAGATTTGTTATACTCCTGTTAAGTAAAAGATGGTAAAAAGCCCACCAAATAACATCACTGAAAGCTCACTAATGGCGTATCCTGCCATAGCAAATCAAAAACACTCTGGAAAACAAATGGTTTTCTATCCAGCTTTATAGAAAAACTGCACACAAGTACAAAACTTCACATTCTCCAAGTCACACTGGTCTTCCCTGGACCACTGTTTTGCAGACAGGTTTTACACACAAACGTATTTGCAGCAGATAGATTCTCTGCTATAGATATAACATTTTTTTAATATAACACACTCCTTGCATTAAATCATAAGGAAAAAGAATTCTACTACTAACAGCATTAAAGCAAACACATGCTGATGCTGCCACGTGTATTTCCGTAACACTTCAAATAACAAGAATTTCTCTCACCATTCCGTTCCTAAACTCTCTCTCTCATCACCAGCTTATCAGGACCATGCATTTTTATGCCATGCCAGCTATTAATCTGTCCATTTGTATTAAAAATAATAATTTTCTTAAAGCTCTCATTTCCAAGGAGTCTACACATTTTAGATTACTATAATGATGACAGAGAGATTACCTCATTCAACAGGAAAAAACACTTATCTACCACGTCTCAGAGAACAGCATCTGATATGAAAACGGATGCGATTTCAAATTTAAGATGCGAATTTGGAACTACATTTTGAATAGAAAATGATGTAGCATAGTCTGCTTTTTTTCAAACACCAGAGAAGCTTCACTGTTATGTTAAAAAAAAAGCTATCAAAATAATCACATGAAATTTGTCAAATTACAAAGCTTTAAGCACTATTTAAATAACTTAAGAACATAAACCGTTCCTTCTTCAAAAAAAAAAAAAAAATACAGATGTTTGGTTTGGGTGTGCTATAAGTGTTGAAAAGATGACAGTGATTCCTCTGCTAGCTTAATATCACTTCTCTCACTTTCTCATTCCTTTCAGGAATTGTTAAAAGCTTCTTTGGTTTGGTTTTCAATTAGATTTCACTTGACTTACGTATTTCAATAGCAAGCATATGAAAGCAGGAAGTATTTCAAGGAGGACGTATCCTTCACTTCCATTTCTTCTGATCCATTTAAATTTAGGCAGATCCTTCCATCCAGGCAAAATTCTCTTTCAGTGCTTTGCTCTTTCTGGTGCTCATATAGCCAGCACTATACAGCTTAACAGCTGCATATGTTACTCTGCAGAACTTTGAAACTAAATAAATAAGCAAATAAAAGTCAAAGAGAACTTACCTGGTCAGTACTGTCACTGTGAGGGCTCTGCAGAAACAAAAATTTAATAGCTAAGAAAATCTTTCATAAGCCCAAGTCTTCTTCTTCATCCACTTCATAAATATCACCATATTCCCAATCCTTTCCTTATCCAAAGGCAGGACACACACTTCCACTTCGCTGAGCTGCAGAGAAAGTAAAAACAAAAACAAAGGAAGTGCTTGTGCTTCCTAAAAGGAAACTGAGCAATTCTATTTCAACGTTATTATAAAACTTGAAAGAAACCTTATGATTTGTGATGGCTCAGAGCCAGAACTGAATCCTAATTGGCAGCAAAACCATTCCAGAACATACTCAATTAAATAACTCTTTAAAAAGCACCAGAATTTACTTATTTTAAGCTTACAATTTTAAAATTGCATACCATATGTTCGTAATTGTGCAAGCAGAGATCTTAATCACACACAGATCGTGGTCAAAGACTGATCAGATAACATCACAGCTCCAAAAAGCATGCAAAGGCAAAGCTGTTACACATTTTTTTTTTTTTTTTAAGTTAAGATTTTCTAGTTAACAGCTTTAACTGTCTGAACAGATCTCCTGCCTGCTGCAAGGTTCTCTTCTGCAGGCACTTGCAATATTAGCCTTTGAACACATTTCTGGACACAAATCCGCCTCCCTCTGCTTCACTGTTAGAGGCCGTACGATGCTGAAAAACACTTTTCTCAGCCTTAACTTTTCAAGTAAATGTTGTGGGGATTCACTTAAAACTAATTGAAATCAGTCAGCGAGGTCAAGTTGAACAAACAGACCACGTCAGAGGTTTAGGCTGGAAATCTCACAAGTGGAAGAAACAGATTTTCCCACACCAGGTCCAATTTATCCTCTCCAGCATTTGAGGATGTTAGAACAAAGGAAATCATTTTCCATACATACCTGCCCTTCCACTCAAGTTAGGTGGATCTGAGAATAGGATCTGAGCTCCCAAGGCTATCCTTATTCTTTTAATTCCAGATGATCTTACACTGGGCTGTTTGCGACCTGGGTCTGTTTCATGTTTCAGCTCATACTGAGGGAGGCAACTTTGTCAATTTTCCAGCAGTCTAACTCCAGAAAGGCATTAGACAAATCCATTAGTGGATAGTCAGTATTTTCTGCTCCCCTTTGTTTCCCACAGCACTTCATACAACCGTCAGTTTGTCTGGCTGCTGAACAGATGAATGAGGAATAACACAGGGAGCATACTAGAAGTGCTGCTATGCCCCTTTGCAAAAGCAACACCTGTTTTTTAACCCTGACCATCATGGCAGCAGCACAAACTAACCTCCAGAAAGGTGTTATCATCAAATTAGAGACTATGCAAGCACAAAGTTGCAGGCAGGCTGACTATTTCTTTAAAAGGAAACAGGTTTAGGTCAAAGGTGCTGGCCTTAAACATGACGCCTCATCCAAAAGGCTTACTGCATACATTTTTGTTGCTTAGTTTCAGGAAGGTTTTTTTTTCCAGAAGATATTGGCCCTTCTGAAGCTCCCCATGACAGTAACCAGAAGAATCAACAGAGAGAAATGCAAGCCTTGTGTTCAGACTTCTAACTCATGAGCAATTAGTTAGCCAACACAATAGCCAGAGATGTGAAGAAGGTGAACAAAGCGTAACAAATACAGAAAAATGCAAAATATGGTGTCAGCATTAATTTGTCCTTTTAGAACAACCTTTAGCAACACAATATATGAGGATATTCACAGGGTCTCTTTTTTAATCATCTGAGAATATCACCTGAAGAGAACACAGTATAGTTCCTCTCATTGGATAAACAATTGAGGAACTTATCACAGTGGATGTGGAGACAAAGTCATGGTGTTTTGTTCTCTTCTCCACAATGGAAGACATTCATCATGTGACAACTTTCTGGGGGAAATCGACTTTTTTAAGGGTGCCATAAAAACTGTAGATGAAACACCTGGCATACAGTTATTGAATACCACATCTGAACAGTATTTCTAATTGATATCTTTATTGGGCAGCATGAACAAATAAGCCTAATTATTTCAGCTTCCAAAAACTTGTTATGTTCATGAAACATCAGCTCTCCAGTTTTTCAGTGCCCATCTTACATCCTTTTAAACAATATGAAGCAGCCTGTCAATCTTGCTCTAAATCATCAGAACCATTCAGTGATAATCACACATTTATCATCCACCACTGCAGCTTTCCTAAAAAACGCTCCTATTTCATTACGGCTCCACACACTGCAACAATGCTCTTTTTTTTTTTTTTTTTTTGGCTACTTAGGATTAATCATTACATTAATGACTCAGGCCCTGCCTGGGCACAATAAAATGATGTCATCTCATTTAAAAATAAAATAAAATCAGAGACCCAGTGGTTATAACAATACCCCATCCCACTCTATTTCTTCTCCGAGTAAGAGAAAACCTCTCACCCAGCTGCCATCAGTGCCCACCCAATACTTCTCAGAAAAACATGAGCATTCCTTTTCAATTCTGAAATAAAACCAAAGCCACAAAGCAAGCTACATGGTCAAAGCCCACACGCTCCTGCACAGACACAACAGCCACCCACCTTCCACCAGGAAGCGTTACCACCTAGAATTTTAATTTATATTTATACCTGTGTGATTTATACCATATATTGGCCTGCATTTATCACAGAAGACATTCTGAAAAGCATTTCCAAAAAAAAGTGTATTTTACAGTACAGCACAGCCTGTGTATCTGTACTATAATATTTTAATACAATTCCAGTATAATGACTTTGAATCTAAAAACCAGGCAAGTAGACATCTTGCATGGAACTTACACTCAAAGTCTTCTCCCAGGCACTTAAGCATTTCTCCTCATTTTTCTACGCAGTTTAAGCTTTTATATCCAAATGCAGTTTCCCACCCAAGCTAGAGTACTTTTAAATACAGCTGACATGAATCAACACATCACTTACTTACTGACTCCTCTTCTTCTCACAGCAAGTCAAGACTAAAGGCTATGTTCAAACGCTGTTCGAATCCCACCTTCTGCCTGAGCAGTTTAGGACCGACCTACACTGTTTGTTCAACATCTGAACTGCTGACATTCTCATTTGTTTAAAACAAATCCTTCCTCACCACTGAGGCTGTTGTCTGCCAGCATGTCTGGTACCACTCAAGTGCATGTCTGCGCAGTTCAGCTTTTACGTTGCTCCCCACCTCCCTGAACAAACTAAGGTACCACCACCTCCTCTGTAGCACCCGTCATAAACCAGAAATCTAACCGTATCTAAATCACGAAGTGTATGTTAGTAGGTGGTTAGTAACATGTCATTCCTGTGCCTGCTTGATGTACATTTATTTGCAATGTGCATCTCACAGTGGTGGTTCTTTGTGTACCAATTGCCAGTAGCTTTTGTATTGTTAGAATAAAAACCTTGGAGACAGAAGACATGCAACCATACTGAACATCAATCCAATTAAAAGCCAGTCTTAGGATTGCATGAATTTGCCATCCATCCTCTGAGCAATAACATGCAGGTAAGATATGAACCTCTCATAAATTTAGCAAAGCCTTTTATTAAGTTCAAAAAAAAAAAAAACAAAACAAAAAACAAACAAACAAACAAAAACCCTGCAACTTCAGCAGGAAAAGCGCCCAGAAACATTCAAACAAAATCTGGTTTCAAAGGTCTCATATGAGATTATAAAAAGGAGGAAAGACCTACATAAGAAATCTCATAGGATGCTCAAAGTTTCTTTTGTCTAAGAAGATCATGAGGGAGGAGTAGGTAAGAATATAAAACCACTGGAGAACGCAAACTGCACAGAGGTCAGTCATTCTGTACATCCTGAAACACTGAGTTTTGTGTGTGCTTATTCCAAGATGCCAATTTTTGAACTAAAAAAGCACAAAAGACAGAAGAACGCGTTTCTGAAAAGCAAGTTCACAATTACAACACTGAAACAATGTAACCAAGTGCCAGAAGACTGAACAGATTGTGACTGCTGCACAAACACACAGTGACTTGTTTTGGCCCTTGTCAGATCTTCACACAAGAGCCGGCTATATATTATTTGTAGGACAGGGAGCTGCTTCAGTACATACTGACCTTATAAAAATTAATGTTTCAGTACTGCTGAGTTTATATTAAAAATTTAAGAGACTACAATTAAAAGGCATTAGTAAGAAAAGCAAGCGTATCTTAGCCATGTGCACTACTTTTAGTTACCTTTTTGAGAAGATTAAAATTAAGCAGCTTTTGCTTTCATCCCACTCACACCCTCCCACTACAAAGTCTGTCTGAGATAATCCTCCTTCTACAGACGTCAAAACAGGGCATACGTATTACAAGGATCACTGCCAAAATATGTTGGCTTAATATCCCATTATTATCGTAATACGGGTACAATAACTTATTATATATGACAGCTTATGCTGTTACTCAAATACAGATCCACTTACTCTGTCGTTTTTTCACCCACCTAAAAGTATATTCATAACATTCATAAAGGAGAAAATTAAAGGTCTGAACGAGATGCGCATCTCAGACGAATGCCAGACAAAACAGAAGGCTCATAAGGTCACACACTTCCTGTCCTGTCATTTCTATTGTCCCAGCCTTTATGCGCAGTGATCGAACCAGAAATTCAGGTCACGGAATTTACAAACACACTGTTTAACTGTTTCTACCCTTTTAAGCTACACTTTCACTGATTTTTATTTATTTGAGTGCAGCATTCTGCTTGAAGGCCAAGAAGATCTCCAGCTCAGAACACAATTGGGATATTAAGCCCATTTGTGTCAATATGCTCAGGATTACTCTTCAGGATTTGCAGTGCAGAAATACACTAGGAATTTTTTCAAGGCTATAATAATATTTAGGTTTAAGCACATAAGAGGGAAGGGACTGCTGTCAAGTACGCTAAAGACAACAGGCAAGGAAAGAAAAGATAAACCCATGCTAGTTACTCTACGCCAGCCACAGACGACTACGTTACCAGTGCACTGAAGAAGCACAGCAGATCTGTAACAACGCATTCTATCTAGCAGAGCGCTAAGTACGAAGGCTGTTATCACACGTATTCCGATGAACTCTCGAGTGCATCTCACGGGCTTGCCTGTACGTATACCTCTGCGCACAGCGTAAAGTCACTAAACCGGACGGATTCACCTCCGTCTCGTTAAGCGCCCAGGTTAA